CACAATTAGTTCAATTTCGGGGTGAACTTTTAACCTTTTTGACATGCTGACCCTTGGAGGGAACGGGAGAGCCTGAGAGGCCAATTTGAGGGAAGTTATACGTGTTTAAATTTAGCTGTTAGACCTTTTAGACCCGTTTCCAAGTGCTCCTGTTGTGGTGCGTTCTGGTGGAGAAAACATAATAAAAATCTATAATAAAAGATAAAATAATAATTGTTACTCCAAACTGAAATCTCATACCAAAAGAGTTTTCTGCTTGTACTTTACTTTTTTTTTATATCTGGGCGAGAGCATTCTATTTAAGAGATACAAGATTATGTGGAACTATAATTAAATTAAAATAAGGTTGTATATATACCTTAAAACAAACAGAATGGAAAGTTCATTAAATTATTTTTGGCTTGCGAGGCAGGAAACCATCACATTGCTGAAAGCCAAAATGTCTGCGGCAAACCTCAACAAAGGACGACTGGACTGCCAATGCAATAAACTGATACGCGCAAATTCCTTTTTTTAAGGGGAACTACATATGAAAATACGTGAAATTACTGGGACCAACAAACTGTGACGCCACTGGTGTGTTTCTGACACCTTTCTATCTGCAACCAGGGCATCTAACTTCATCAGCCAGTTTGAGTTACAGTAGCTTCGTCTGTTGGATCGGACCACACAGGTCAGCCCACTTCTTTTCCTTCCTCGGCATTTCACTTCTGATAGGTACGGACCTCCTGCAGACCGGAAACAAAGCCACAGGAGCTGCAGTTTTATCAGATACTCTGATCCAGTCATGTAGCCATCACAATTTGGCCCTGTTCAAAGTCACTCAATCCTCATTGCTGGGCCCATTTTTAAAATACAACTTTGGAGTACAAAATTGGTTCACTTGCTGCTCTATATCACCACCCCACTGACAGGAGCCATTTTAACGAGATAATCAGTGTTATTCACTTTCACCTGGTCAGCGGGCCTTATGTATGGCTGATCCGGTGTATACAGTACATGCTAAGAAGATTTACACCTTAATACCACAACTTGGTTTTGTTTGACAGATTGTGTGTTTAACACTGACGGCATCCTTTTATTTTCATTACTCTAACATATCAATAAATATAAATTATAAAATGTGAGCCACTCTAAGTCCATTTTCACATGAGCAATTAATATATACATATACCTGACTGTCACTTGCTATGATGGGTTACCAGGGTAGACGTGATGAGATACTGATGGCTGTCTGCTATAAAAAGCCTAATGACAGGCTGCTCTAGGCCTCGGTGGAGGAACCTGGCCAATTCAACACAACTGGTAAAACCGCACTCACTAAACCGCAGTGTGTCTACGTTGGAGGTAACCTGTAAGCCTTGACCAATCTTGTGCATGTGGCCACGCAGTCTGTTATTCATTTTAAAGTGTAAACCAGAAAATGTACGTACACACGGCTTACGAAATCTGATTAAAAGAAACAAGTTTTAGTCATGAACCTACAACTTGTTACCTCTCCTCATTACCCTTTACAAACACAGAGAGGCAGTAAGTGACAGAGCCTGTCTACACATATGACAACACAGGAAGCAACAGCAGAGACGGGTCACTGATTGGATCTCCAAATTATAATTTTCCATAGAAGCTCATCTCTACCAGGCAGAGCTGCTTTCTATTAAGGAATTTATCGATTTCCATTCATTAACTTTGAAGTGATTCTCCGATGTCTGTAACTGCTGTAGGCCCACTCGTTTGATTTTAACTTGACTAACACCATCAACTATGCTACCAAAACGCAGAGAAGAACTGCGTGGATTGATTTTACAATTACTAGTGGACTCTACTGCTGTAGGTCTATTTTCTCAACCTTAAAACTTCACTGGCTGTTTGCACATTTTACTGAAATATTAAAATATATCCTGAGTGCCTTTATTTGAAAACCAATTCTTTTTTTCAAAAATTAGGTTTTGATGTTGACTTGAAGTGAATTTATTCCAGATGTTCTCTGTGCAAACAAACATTCTGGTGCAGGTCAGGTTCACCTTATTTTGCAAGGAAAGTCAGAGGATCACCAAGGTTACTAGGACTCATCCTCCAGGCACCTATGGATTATCCTGTACACATTTTATTAGTCATTTTGCACACATCTCCCAGCTGAATGGGGGGGTCGGCAATCACTGGTTGTCGCTGGCCTGTTGGAAAATTGGACTGTTGAACATAACATATTGCCCCGACCCTACTATGCCACATATAATTTAATACTGTAAGCCAAATCAGTTACTGCCTTCCAAGAATAACATTCACTTAGCACAATGTCCATTATGCTGAGGACCAAATCCAATCATCTACAGTTTTTAAACCACACACAGCAAACAGCTAGTAACCAAAAACATCAGCCTAACATATTTTACTACTATGATTTAGTTTTTTGGGTTTTTTTAACACATCTGCAGTTGCACTAGAAGAGACACTATCATATGAAACACACACACACACACAGAGTGGTGGTATGATACCAAATTACCAGTCTAGTACAATTTCCCTGAGGGGGACTACAGGCCAAAGCATTAGCCAATTCCAACTCTGTCCTTCAGAACCAGACCACCATTGACTGTAATTGGTCCATTTCCTTCACAGGACCCCAGAGCCAGCGCACACACACACACACACACAGAATAAATGCACAACGTTCGCTAAGATAGAGGAAAGCTTGTTACCTTGCAAGAAAGAAAACAGGATATTTACATAAATGCATTCCCTGTTGCTTTCATTTACATAAGTAAGACTATCATCCTTCTTCTCGCTGTCATAAACAGAGATGAGACAGAAAAAGCCCCCCCGAATTAAACTGGACTCCTTTTCAAACAGATTCCAGTTCACATCTATTGCTGTGTGGTAAACAGATGGATTTGGCTGCAAAAGGAGTTTCATATTCAGACTCACACAAGCTGAGACAGTTTCACACCACAAAAATTATGGAAGCAACCCCCCCCCCCTCCATCTGGTG